CTGCAAATTACCCCATGGTGCCTTAAATGAATTTACAACTGGAATGACCAATGTTAAAATAACAGAGCTACCATTGTCGCCATCTGTTGGTGGTGGGTGGATTGGACTTCACCTTCCAGAGCGTGGGCGCAGAACTGGGAGTCTTCCAAAGCTGCCAGTTCCCTAGTACAGGAGTGTGTGTGTGTGTGTGTGTGTGTACACATACACAGGTTGTACACATGTGTGTTCCTTGTGTACATGCCCACTGGACAAAGTCTTAAGGATTGGCACCACTGTGTCTTAACATTCCTATCCGGGACTTGTGGTGATTTTAATATTCCAACTTTGTTTGGGGTGCCTGCGTGGCTCATTGGTTAAGCGTCTGCCTTCAGCTCAGGTCATGATCCCAGGGTCCTGGCATCGAGCCCTGCATCAGGCTCAGTGGGGAGCCTGCTTCTCTCTCTCCCTCTGCCCCTACCACTCATTCTCTCTCTTTCTCTCACTCACTCACTCTCAAATAAATAAATAAAAATCTTTTAAAAAATATCTCAACTTACTTTTCTGTGTCTTCCAATTACAAGGGTGCATTTCTTTTGTAATTAAGGCAAATTAATAAAAAGATAGAGTTTAGGAGGGAGTACGTGAAGGGGCCGGAGAAGAAAATTAAGTTTTATTTACTTAGGACAGACTAAACTTTACTTTGACTTTATAGTTCAGCAGATGAAAGAAATCTCAATGCAAATGGGGCAGAAATGACAAGCTGTGATAAAAACAGAAGAAATTCTGGTAGATTCTAAGCAGAAGGTTTTGTCAGCCAGGTTCACTTGGGCCAATAGGTTTAAATATGAGACTTGACTTGTTATCCGCTCCCTTTGAAATTCTAATGATTCTGTAGTCACATCTCTTAATTACTCTTTATCCTTTTGCTTCCTCTGGAGTGGATTATCTGCTTTTAGCAAAGAATATTATTTTCTGGTAGCCAGGGCTAAGATCTGAGCCTCATTACTTTGAAGATAGGGAAAACCCTCAGAATCTTCCTAGTCACATTTTTTTTCCTTTAAAATTCTACGGCTTGCTCTCCTCTCTGGTGTTGTCAGAGTGTGAATCCTGTCAGTCAAGAGGCCTTTTTCTCCCAAACCTGTCTCTCTTACTTAATGATTTTTTAAAACAAACTACACTGAGGGCCAGTGAATATCTGGTTGATTTATGATGTTTTACTCAAATGTCTGTTACTCTCGTAGACATGGATGATCAACAATAGAATCAGACTAAATGCGAACCATCTTTATCCCCCACCCCCGCACCCCTTGCCCCACATCATTAAATCTTACTGCAGAGAGAACTAGTAAGTGGGAAAGGGTGCGTGCTCTGAACCCCGCTGTGCCTTTTCCTGTTCTTTGAGGCACCATTTGATAGACGGCCCGGCCCGTGTTCCTAGATCCTGTCTCCCGTGATTAGAACTACTTGTTCTGCCCTCCAGTCCCACATATGGTGACCACATCATCACGGAGAAGCTACCAGAGCCAGGGCCTGAGCGACTGAACGTGGGGCATCTTCCATTTCAGTTATTTGAATAAGATACCTCTGGTGCCACGGGAGGTGTCACTGAGTGGACAGCCCAAGAAAGAAGATAAGTCACCAGAGGTAAACCCTTCTGTACCCCTCAGGTAACTCCAGGTAGGGAGTTACAGGGAGGCTGGTATGGAATAGCTCCAGAGACAGTACCTTTCTGAGAAGTCACGGTCTTTTAGGCTTAACCCACAAATCATGGTGAAAACCGCAGTAGAAAGTAAAACTGAATAAATTTCAGAAATCTCTTCTCCCACACACCTCCTCCACATCCCTCTTTCAACCATGAACCACATGTTTATTTCTTATGTTTAACACAAACAAAAGCTTTACTTTGGCTTGAAAAGTAAATCTCCCATACCTTGATAAGAAGAGGTCTCCCAATTGATTTCTTTCGCTTTCGTACCTTCAGTGTATAAAGGAAACATTATTTCTCGGAATTATTTCATGAATAAATTGCAGTGAGAATTTAAACAAAATTTGTTTAAGCTTTGGGGTTTTAGGAGAGATTTTGGCTTAAAATCTATATGAGCTTTTACTTTCCCATTTGTAAAAAATGGGAATAATAGCACCTACCTCGTAAGAATGTTGCAAAGTTAATTAAATAAGATCAGGCATACAAAGCCCCTGGCACAGCGCCTAGAACATAAGTAGGAACTGAGTAAATGTAATCCCTTTTTTGGTTTCTTATAAAATCACAATGGATTTGGATGAGGAGATTAGGGATGGTTTCATGGAAGAGATAATGTTTGAACAGGTTCTTCAAGTTCAAACAGGGCTAGAATGGGATAATGATGGGATGAGAGAGACATGTTTAAAGTGATGTTTAAAGTAAATTAAAGCAGCAGACATGGTTGGAAGCACCAGAAGCTGAAAGCAAGGCAAGAAGTATTGTGTGTTTTTTGCTTGGGTCTAGAGGTAGTGAAGGGGAGGGGTGAATATTAGAAACATGTCAGAGACAACTCAGAAGGGTTCCTGACTGCCTGGACTCAGGATGGCTGAGTCCATGGTGTCTTGAGGACCTCGAGCCTGGTGGGAGATCAGAGTGGGACACTGCTACTGAAGGAAAAGAGAGAAGATGGGTTTGGGCTCCTTAAGGATGGGATTTAGAAAATAGTGGGCATGAGGTGACATTGAATGAGATATTAAAGTATCTTAACATAAAAAGATATTTGAGTTGAAAGAGAGACAAAAAAACTGACATTGGGGAAATAACAAAAAATCAACTCAGGGGGCACCTGGGTGGCTCAATTGGTTAAGCAGCTGCCTTTCGATCAGGTCATGATCCTACAGTCCTGGGATTGAGCCCTAAATTGGGCTTCCCACTCAGCAGGGAGTCTGCCTCTCCCTGCCCCCCACCACAAGTCACATAGCACGTGCTTGCTCTCTCTCTGTCTCTCTCTCTCTCATATAAATAAATAACCTCTTAAAAAAAAATAGAAACCAACTCAGGAAGGAGAAACAAGCACCAGTCAGAGAACATGCTTTAAATAACGCCATAGCATTGGATGGATTTCCTAGGAAAAGGAAGGGTTGAGATGAGAGTACTTGGCTAAGGAGGGAGAAAAGGAGGCTGAATGGGCGAAGAAGCCTGGAAAGAGCACCCAGAAAGGTAGGATGAGATCTGGGGAGCAAGTTCAGAGCAGGGGAGGAGTGGGGTACTTAGATGTGGCGGTGAGGAGTAATGTCACAACAGCAGAGAGATCAAAGAAAACAGAAACCCAGAAAAACTGGCATGGACTGAGTGCCAGTACTCTCAGGAGACTTTTCTCTTTTCCTACCTCCCACATTTCCCTTTCTCTCCCATCGTTAGTGGGGTGAGCAGGACCAGAAAGGTAGAAGGCCAGCCCCTGACCTTCCCTAAATTTCCTTTCTTCTTTTTGGTTTACAAAAGACTCTGAACTCTGTGACCTCAAGCACAGTCTCTTAATCTCTGTGACTGTCAATCCCCTTTTCCTGAACTGGAGTCATACTTAACTCTCTTCCATACTGTTGGAAAGGTTTGAGGCTGGAATGCAGTCTAAAAGCATTTCCAGCCAAAACTTTTGCAAAGGAGCGTGCTGATAAATGAATCCAGCATGAAAGTAACCTACAGAGAAATGGTTGCTGAAAAGGTGGTTTTAAAATCACTTATTTTCTCTGGTTTTCAGGTTTTTCAAAAATTAGTACCCTTTTTTGCTAAGCATGGTGACCTGTGTTAATATTGTAAATACTCAGAATCTCTACAGGGAATTGAAGGTGTTTGTGCAATATTATGCCTCTTGGATGTAATTGTCATTTGAACCTTAAATTATCTTTACTTTCATGCCTGGTTAGTAATCATTTGATTATGTGATTACACAGAGTGAAAATGAACCGGGGAAAAGAGGTGGTTCAAGCCATTTGTTTCTTCTAGATAAATATATTTCAGCTTGTTCAATGCATAAACCAGAAACCTACAGTATTCAGAAATGCTTTAAAGTGCTACACAGATGCTTCATTTACTAAGCTTTCAAGACTTTTTAGACCTTGGGGTCAATCATGAGAAAGTATTATTAGAGAAAATAGGAAATTTTAGAAGTAATACACAGGAAAGTAAAATTAAACATGTATAAATGAGGGCACAGGTCACAGATCCGTGATGAGTTACATGCATTTCTCAAAGTCCCCACAATTTTTAAGAATTAATTTCAAAGGTTTTTCCTTTGCTTTTTGAAGACAAGCACACATGGCTGTGCTTTACCTTGTGGTGTGGCCACTCTGAAAGGGTTCGGGTTGGGACATGGACTTATTAAGCTACACTTCTACTTCATCTTCAGCAGCGGATCATTAAGAGGTTAATATTCTGGATTTTTTCCTTCTTCCCCCAACATCTGTTGTACCTTAAAGAATTCCATCACATTTATACAGACCCTCATCGAATTAATGCTTAATCCCTGGTTCATGGCTTTATATTCTTGATTGTTCCTATCATTTCACAAATATATGTGGAGCTATTATTACTGAGTTGAAAGAGGTGTTAATAATATATTAGTTATATGTCTTTATAGATTTATATAAACATTAATAGTTATCAAAGTGTTAGGTAAATTTTATAGCCTTGCGTTTGGCTTTATATTCACGTAGTGTTGCTAGAAGTAACTTCTTATGGAGTTCATTCCCTCCCCGGCCCCCCCGACATTTTTCTTTTTTTGGTCTGAAGAGTGTCAGGTAAGTACCTGATTTCCTCAACGGCCAACATCAGACCGTAATCTGAGGATTCAAATAGGAGGCCTAGCCAGTCCCTTCTTTTAGTTTAGTTTTGAGTCTAAAATTCTCATTGTCTGTCCCCTAAGTATAGGACGTTTTGTCCTTTAAATTTTGCAGGTGCTTGAAAAGTATCCGTGTTCTCTGGACTTTGACATTCCTAAGGGTTCCTTGATTTTAACTTCTCCTGTTCTTTTTTTTTTTTTTTTTTCCTTTTTATCTTTCAGATATGGGAAGATAGTCTCCACGAAGGCAATTTTGGATAAGACAACAAACAAATGCAAAGGTATATTCGCTTGGATGATAATTTACTACATCCTAGCTCTAGGAAACTGACGCCATTGTAAACCTGATCTTTGGTTTCAAAACTACTACCTCCATTTTATTATAAACCGAGTCTTCTGTGCCCCCCAGTTCCGGCCTTGCGCCGTGTCAGCATATTCCTTTACGTTTGTCCCTGGCTGAGGTTGGCTGGAAACCCTCCAGCAGCTACACTTTGCCAGAGTCGCAGATCTGACTCCAGTGGAGCTAACAGGCAGGATACTGGTTGGCATTTAGCCCCTACTTTAAAAGGGAAGTAGAGTTAGAAAATAGCTTTTCTTTCCTGAGCCTGAGGAGATTAGAGCTGCTTACTGAAGACCATTGGACTGTACTAAAGAACTGAAAAGATTACATATTGTGCAAATTGGCTCTATTAATTAGAATAGAGTAGTTTTAAGCAGTACTTAATTACATGTTTCAATACTCCCAATTGTTCTGTGCTGAATGCCTGTTGACAATATTGGCAGCGGGGAGGAGAGAACCATTTTCACTGACCAAATTGTAATAGGGAGGGGAGGTCATACGCCCCTTTGAAATATGCTGCTGCATTAATTTGATGCACTGACCTTCAGTTTTCCATGTAATTAGGATGAGCTCATCCGGCTCCGTGAGCTGGAAGAGGAGGCGTCTACAGTAGGCAGCGCTGATGCCCGGCGGTTCTGACTTGTAATGATCCAGCATCTTAACAATGGGCATGTGATTTTGAGGAAAGGGGAAGAATAGAGTCAGCTGACTTTGAGTCCGACCACTGACCCCATGAATTGAAATAAGGTTGACAGGAATAGGCAGAGAAGGCAAATCTCCTCATTAATTAGACCCCAGTTTTTTAAAGGAGTGGCGATAGCTTTGGCTTAGCGCTGTCTGAGAAAGTCAAAGAATGGAAATGAACCGAATGGGAAGCCTCGCCATCGAAGCCAGCCATTTCCTTTAATCTAGACTTGAAGTGGTTCATTGTATTTGTGTCTTCTTCAAAGTTCCTGCATTTAAAGGAGCTTTTGTGGCCAATATCTAAGCCCCTGTTTAAGCCACATGGCACATGAAGACAGTTTTGCCTAGGGACAGTGAATAAAGCAGTGCTTTATGTAGAGAGGTACTCAATAAATATTTTAAATGAATTAAACTAGAGAGTCAAATTGTAGACTGAAATGTTTCTATTTAGTTGCCAAGGTTAGTGTTATTTCACGTATTTGTAAACGATTTGAGAAAACAGGGACATGGGGAAAAAAAACTTTCAGTTTTATAAAGAAAAGTGGACTCTTGCAGGCATAAAACAGGAGGCTGATCTCAAACATTTGTTTCAAACTGAGAGAGAAAATCACAGTAGACAAATGGTTTTATGGCTTGACCCTACCTTTCCTCCCACCCCGCCCCCAGCAGAGAAGAATCTTACATGGCAGATCAGTGTGTTTTAAAAATTAGCACAGCTGCCCAGTTAGGTGAGGGAGAGGACTCAGAGGACTCCCCAGCTGAATTCTTCCCACTCCCCTGCACTGAACACGCCTACCTGTAGTACACTTTTCTCCAATGAGAGCTTGTTCCTTAGACACCAAAATTCCATAAAATGCTCAACACAATGTAGAAAAGGTGTAAGTAAAATAGACTCATGTGAAATCGGACATTTTATGATACGAAGCCTTCACGGTTGGAAAATATTCCAAGAGAAGTGGAGAGATTTGTGGGGCTTTTAAAATAAGGGAAAGAATAATTCAGATTGTCCAAACAGCACATCTCTTGGAGACCTTCTATTAAAGTGAGTCTCAGGAGATAGTGCCTTCCGTGAGGGCAATGGTAGGAACCTTTTAGGGCTCTTTGTAACACCCAGGCTCTCAGGAATAGACATGTCGGCACATGCGGTGGGCGGGTGAGTGAGGGGACCAAGGGAGCAAAATGGGTTTATAAAATCCTAGAAGCAGAATGAGAGAGCTCCCGGGGGGGGAAAAAAAAAAAAAAAAAAAAAAAAAGGACAAATGAGACGAAATAACACAGCGTACCTCATAAAAAAGACAGCATGGTAGCCATTGATAACATGAGAAGGCAGGTAAGTGAATGGATGAATAGATGTATAAATATAGATAATGCATAAGGGATTACAGAGTATTCACATAAATAGAAAATTCACATGTTACATACTAATTTTTTGAGGTTGACCATACCAAAGAATTTTATACCTGAAAGTTCGAGACCTTAGAGGTCACAGAACATTTTTTTTTTCCCCCACAAAGCATATTTTGGAGTCTCTATCCAAGAAAGAAAATTACACTGAAGGAAACATTGCTCTGAATAACATGTACCTTAGCTATTAAATCTGAAAATTTTTGAGACAGTTGCTCTTCTGCATTTCAATTTTTGTCAGGTTTTACCCAACTGAAGGTGTTTAAACACTTTCCAACACCAGTATAGATGGCAGTTCCAAGCCAAAAAAAGTTTACAGAGTATCAGTTGTGGCACTCATTGAATAATTTATTAATGCTTACAGAGTTACATACAAAACTAGAACACATGCACGCAAATGCCACACACACACACATACACGAAGTTAAAAATGGGTGGGAATAAATCTGACTAATGGGAAGATAGAGGTAAGAGCAGGAATTCTCAGCTTACTACAAAAATGGCCTGAGTTTGCTAATGGCCAAAACAAAAATTAAAAAAAAAACATATCTTTTCCCGTGGCTTAGTGACTATAATGTGGAGGAAAATTCAAGAAGCAGGAGTACCATAACTATTCCTGGTCCTGAGACCCAAGGAGAGTCTTTCTAGGGTTCGTGAGAGGCTGCTGTGTTATTTAGCAAATCCCACCTTTAGAAGTATCTTTATACCCATTTATGCAATGAAACCCACAGAACCTATAACTCAAGTTGATACACTCTTGTATTTACTTGAAAGTAATGCAGCAGACAAAATGAAAGAGCACACGGTTGCATGCCTACCCATTAGATTTGTTTACAGCAAAGATATTTATTGAAAATATTTACTGAAATATTTATGTGCTTAGAGAAGGCCAGAAAAGAACATAAACAACTAAAATGCAACCATTATAGATTTTTCCTAATAAAATAACAGGTAAAATAATACTAATCGTACTTGACTGATAATAAGTTCAACCCCAGTTACATCAAAGTTGAGATCTTTCTGTTTCTTGTGATTTACTGACAACAGGAACATTGTGTTCCAGGGGGTAACCACACTCAAATATCCATCAGTGGGAGTGACACCATTTCATTGAAGCTGGCTTGTCGTTTAGGGCCTGCTCAAGTTGTGGGTGATAAAGTAGGTGCGAGGGTGACAGAGTGTGTGTGTGTCCCCACAGAGGATGCGTATTAGCATTAACTTACAGGTTTCTAAAAACGCTCCAACTGCGTTGACTCTAATTGCTGATGTGGCTATTGAGCACCATTCTCTGTTTTTACCTGAGCCAGCTCTTCTTTTTCATTCCAACCTGGCTGTTTCTCTACTGTCAAAATCAAATCAGGCTTTATTTCCGTCCAATTCCAAGTAATAGAAGGAAGCTGCTGCTTATTTCAGCTTTAACGCATCTCTGCTGAAACCTCTATTTCTGTAATTGATGGTTTACTCTGTTTCGTTACAACCCGTTTAGTTACCAGACAGTTACTTTTGGTACTAATATTGCCAACTGACCTTTGAACCCTTGCCAAGCTCTGTGTTTGGCCTTGTTGATAGGTATGTTTGTCCGTTTGAATGGACACTAGTACTTTTCCATGAAAGATACTCTATCTTTACCCTGTCAAGAAATCAGTGATAGGACTGGCCCTTCCCTACAGTCTCCAAACAGTGCTTTTGTTTTTCAAAATATTCCTACTCATTTAAACTTTATTTCATAGTAATAGGCTTGTGTTCCAATAAAATCTCTGTCAGTATTTTTGCCTGCTACTCTGATCTTTTAAACAGTGTGTTAAGTATGATTTAACCTTTTCTCAATAACTTAAGAGTGATCACAGCAAAAAATGACCAGTGGCTCACTGGATTGTGTAAAATTCATGGGGCTGTTGCTTTTAGACTGCTTAAGTCCTCTTCATTTTATAGTTTTCCTCCTTCATTGCTTGTTGCTAGTTTTTGCTGCTAGGTACCATCCATACGCTCATTTTGTAGCTGCCCTGCCCTTACCCTGACACCCTTTTCCCCTACTTTTGATTTAGTGTGGCTGGGGATTACCTGACCAGCTTGTTAAAAATGTTTATAATGCTATGAATAAATAAGCTTTGAGCCAGAGCCTCTTTTAGAAGGTTATTTGTTTGTTTGTATTATGTTTTGTTTTTAGCCATTAGGGCATGAACTGCTGAAACAGCTTTTTTGGCTATCTGGAGGCATTTTTACTCCTTTCTCTATATGAAGGGGGATCATGAGGTATATTTTAAGTAAATAAGTAATCATTTTTAATGACATACTAAACTTTCAATTATTTTATGTTTAGGGTATTTCATGGTTATACTTCTTTGAAAAATAAATTTAGTCCTTGGAATAAACATAATTTTTTTTTTTTCCTGTTACTTGTTAAGTTCCATAAAAATGCTATTTCTCTGAAGTTGTTTTTTTCTTTTTTCAACTTTGGTTGGTTAACTTAGATGTCATTTGCTTCAGTAAGCAGGACACCTGAAGAAAGGGGAAAACTGGGGTTTTGGCGGTTTTGTTTTGGTTGGTTTGTTTTTGACGTGGAAGGAAATCCGCCTAGCTCATGAGAGAGCCAGGGACAGACAGCCTGCAAAGGAGACAGCATGGCAGCTGGTAATGCCAGTGGTGTGTCAGGACGTCAGGGGTTCCGTTTCTGCTGCCCCCACATCGGGAACCAGAGAGTCCTTCTTTTGCTCTTTTCATTGTCACAAAATAATGGCTTAATAGCAAGTATGTTTTGCATTTCAGGTTATGGTTTTGTCGACTTTGACAGTCCTGCAGCAGCCCAGAAAGCTGTGTCTGCCCTGAAGGCTAGTGGGGTTCAAGCTCAAATGGCAAAGGTGAGTCGAGATCCAGTAGTCACCTACTTCTCTGGGCCCTAGCTTTGGTCCTGAAGCCTGGCACAGTGCTCCGCCCGCCGGCGTTGGCATTCTCCCTGCGTCCCCACTAACCTTGTGTGCTTTTGGACGCCTGTCCTGGCCTCCACATCCTCAGTCATAGTTTAGGGCAGAGGAAGCTACAGATGCCATTTCGAATCTGTACAGGAAGTCAGACATGTTTAGACACTGGTTATTATGGGATATGAATCTACCCTTTAGTAGTTCTATAATGGCTTTCTTCAAGGCTTGTTTCTGATGAACTTTTAGGATTCTGGAAGAGGAATGTTGTTGAAGCGGGGTTTATGCCCTTCGTCTTCTTACTGCTCAAATGTGAACTTGGGTTATGTCACACCTAGTACCAATAGTGCACTTCTAAAGAGACTCATATAATTCTGTGCATTTTTTTTTCCATTTGTGGTCCTTGAATTGCTATGGAAAATATTTTTAAGCCTGAAACTCAGCAGCTTGATATTTTGTGTATTCTTTTCAAAAGATCAATAGTTTTATATTCTCTGTCTTCTTGAAGCACAGAGGAAAGTAATTTTGTTACTTCTGCTGCTTCTGAATAGTAACATGTGATCATTCCCTCAGGAGCATTCACAGTTCCATAAGGAAGGAGACTTTATGGAAGTTCAAGGGCTCTGGTGAAGAGATAGGTTACTTGCTACCTGCTAAGACCTTGAGTCTGCTGAAGGATGCGTATGTAGCTACCACACCAGAGATTTACCTTGACTCAAATCAACACAAATAATGATTTTAGGAATTAGTGAAAGGATCACCTTTCTAAAAGTAGTCTTTGATTTTAACTGTTTTTAAAGCTTTGAATTGAGCTGGACATATTTTAGATTTTCTTGAACTCCAGAGTAAGAAGTTAAGACAAATAAAAACTATGTAAATATTAAGCACCATGATTTTCTGATTATCTGTCCATAATATAGAGTAATTCCCTGTGGCATTGTTATGATCATGAGAGTTTTAAATATATTTAATTGTAACTGTGCAGTACTGGTGTTGCATAATGATTTGCAGGGTGTTTAACCTGCCTCTGTAAACAGTGGGTCCCCATCCATTTTATAAGCAGGACTTTCAAGGCACAATCAAAAAACAGCCCTATTTCCCCCCTACTTTGTCCATTTCCTCTATTCTCTGAAGTTGCTGCTTCTTCCTCTCATGGATAAACTCCAGGGTGGGTCCCATGACTTTTCTGGCCACTCTCATTATCTTAAAAAGTCCCTTCTCTTCCTATCTTTCTGATTAATTTTTTTTTTCCCAATAGAATCCTTCTTCATTTTTCATATCCAGACTTCACAGAATGTAATTATCTTTCAATACATTTTTAGCTGTTTCTATATGTATTCATCCCAACCCAAATACAGGATTTTAAACAAGATGTTGTATAGGGAATCTCAAGTTACAGTCTAAATAAGTTTGTAAAATGTCAGAATCACATGTAGAGGTTTTGAAAACTGCTGAGAGTCAGCAGAAGAGATATGTGTCTTGGATGTCACTGGTGCTGAAAGAAATCAGCTTACACAGCAGTTATCTGCTAGCAATTGTATTGATTACTTGGTGATCAGGAAGCAATGTTTTCAAGGTTTAGATCCCAGTATAACAAGTCACGTTTTAGGAAATTGTAGAAAAATAGGAAAAGAAGGATTTAATTACATTTTAGGAAATTGGGGGTGGTGATTCATGTGTAATACGTTATGGTGTTTTTGTATTTGAAATAAGCTAGAATAGGATCCGGGTTAACATTTGGATGCTGGATGTCTCCTTTTTAAGAACACATCACTGATGTTAAATGCGTGATGCCTGTAATTTAAATGTCCAGGCTTGATAGGTTTATCTTTAGGGTGGGGGGCAGAGGGAGCTAGAGAATCTCAAGCAGACTCCCTGCTGAATACGAAGCCCAGTGCAGGGCTCCATCCCAGGACCCAGAGATCATGACCTGAGCTGCAGTCGAGAGTCAACCACTTTAACTGACTGAGCCACCCAGACACCTGTATTTTTGCTAAAGTTTTGAGTATCACGTTGAAGCTTCCCCTTTCTTCCAGCTCAGGTCTGCTGTCAGTCATAATGAGCCTGTAGGAGGATGGGAGCTTCATTAGTTTCTTTCCTACTTCCCAAAGTTATGTTTTTCTTGCTCTGCTGTCCGCTGGGTAGCTATGATTTCTTACACTCCCCCCTGGAAACGGTATGGGGGGATGGGAAAGTTTGTTGACCTGACAGTGACATAATCTGATATTGATTTCTCTGGCCACAGAGGTGATGCTCTTCCTCTTTTCAGAGATCTGTTATACCACCACCCCAATTGATCTTTTTCCTGTGTTTCCTTGAAACTAGTGAGCATATGCCTCAGCTCCACATAGTCTGAGGGTCTGTCCTCAGGCCCTTTCTGCTGGGACCTCGTTGCCCTTCAAGGCAGCCTCTCTGGAAGGATACAACACAGCCCTGGCCAGTTCCCCCTTGCATGGCCCACCTACAATCTACATTTGGCAAATGTCTGGGAGAAGTAGGTACTTACCGGCCACACTTAGAGGCCCCTTCAACCAGCCTTTCCCCTGTTAGACTTCTCAGGCTGAAGTCAGACATCGGTCATTGTACCCACCCAGCTGCTCGGGACCCAGTGCAAGCCTCCTGAGTGGTCTGTTCAAGCCCTTCTCGCTTGCCTGGTGGTGATAGGGAAGCAGCCCATAGGGAGAGACGCAGAACACACCGGCATTCCTCTCCACATGCATGTCCATTCGCAGCCTCTCCAGGCTCTCGTAGACAGCGGGAGATGGGTGGTCAGCATAGCGTCCCAAACCAGGTCTCAGCCGCCTCTCTTGAGGTGGTCTGGAATGGGGGTGTGTCAGCCATTGTTTTGTGGCCTCTGCTGAAACAAGGTTAGAAAGAGGGCTGTTTAACAACCTGTTACAAATGCAGAGGTCTTACTTAAAGCGGTCGTGAGAGCACTTACCGAGGCATCCTCCACGTGCAGCTCAGTCTAGTAAACGTCCCCCGTTCTGAAGAACCCTTTACACAGCGTTTGGTCAGTGCTAGACTGGGTGGACTCGGGCCCTCCCCGACGTGTCCGCGTGTGCTCTGAAAGCCACCTTCCTGTGGCCTGACCACGAGCACTGTGCAGAGACTTCCTGAGGAGACTTGGGACGGTAAATTGGCTAGGAAAAACGATCCCCTTTCTACATGGTCAGTAGGGCAGGAGCGGTGCCCATGTTCAGAGATGCTGGCAGTGTGCCAATGTCCTGCACTCGGTGAATTTCTTTAGGTCGCTGTAGAACAACTGAGTTTCCCGGGTGTGATTTCTTTTTTATTATATCATTAAAGTTACAAAAGCTATTTTAAATGCTAGAGGGTCCGTTGTTCTATACCATGACACCGTGGGTTTGAGGCTCTGGAATGGACTTAACCTCTTCATACTATCCAGATAAAGGAGTGCCTGGCCCGTACTTTCTGTGGAGACGGTTTTTAATTATCTTTTTTTTTTTTTTAAAGACCTTATTTATCCATTTGACAGAGATCACAAGCAGACAGAGAGGCAGGCAGAGAGAGAGGTAGGGAAGCAGGCTCCCTGCTGAGCAGAGAGCCCTATGCGGGGCTCGACCCCAGGACCCCAGGATCATGACCTGAGCTGAAGGCAGAGGCCTCAACCCACTGAGCCACCCAGGCGCCCCTGTGGAGACAGTTTTTAAAAGAAGTTCAGGTCTGGCCCCCATGTTGAGTGATAAGGGATCCATTGCTATCCACTTTTTTGCTTAGTGAATTAAACAGGATACTGCATACAGGTCTGAGCATTCACACTGCCACACATTAAAGGCCTGCTTTCTTGTGAATTAGAAAAAAAAATGAACGGGTATTCTACTAAGGAAGTCAGCAGGGTGGGGGGGTGGATTGGGGTTTGGGTGAAGGAGAATACAATATTGTGTGACACATTGGCTGTCCTGGGTTGGAAAAGGATCCACAGATACTCTAAACTGAGAATTTGCAAGTGTTCTCACTTGCATTCAGCAACAGTGATTGTTTCTTATTTATGTTTTCACTTTCAGTACCTTTCTTGGTACCTGGCATAGGGTAGTTACTAAATCTTTATTTTGTGAATGACCAGAGAAGCCCAACTCAGCGAGAGAAAAACTTTCTTCCCAGCTTGAGCAGATAGTGAGAATTAAGAATGGGACATTTAGAAGTTGTATTTATTGAGCTCTGTCCGTAGAATACCCTGAAGATACTTACCAAAATGTTTTCCTAAAGGCTCAAGGCCATGCCTCTTGATGTTAACTTGGCCTCGTTTCACATTGTTTGTTTTTAGAGCACAAGACTCAGAATCTATAAAAAGAGCAAAACTCAGATATTAAGCTAAAAGGACTTAAAACACAAGTCAACACTGGTAATACCTGTTAATAGAATGACTTCTATAGGCCTTTCAGCAGTGCCTCTTAAGGCCTGCTGGGAGTCAGCGGATCGTCGTATGCTATTTGCCTGGTGGTAAGCCCCACACATTTCTTTCCGGTAAATAGGCAGTCAGACGAGCAGGACTTTAATCCCCCTTCCACACAGAGTCTGCCGCGATTTAGGCCGTTTGCATTCACATGCCTGTAAGCAGCTATCGGCTGCGTGGTGAACCTATTCAGTACAAGAGAAAACAGATGTCTGGTCTTCCTGCCAAGTCCCTTTCTTGCATTTTAGGAACCATTCCACATGCACAGGGAGGTTTTTGTTAATTTCTTTCAGATGATGACTGAGTGCTTTACACCACGCGGGACCTCTGAGCCCTGCTTTTCTACTCAAGTGAACGTTAGTGGCCATTTATCCATCTCACGGCCAATGTGGGAGCTAGTTTTCCACTTGTTAGAGAAGCCATTGAACCTTTTCCATGCCTAAGGATGGATATAAAGAGGGCTGTTGGCCCCATTTTATGTTTGGCCACCTATAATTTACAGAATAATTGTTTTTTGAGACATAACATTGTGTGTAATAAAACAGAGTTATGGTTGTCACTGATTTTAAAGAAACTAAATTACCCTCCTTCGAGAACCACCCCCCACTTACTACAACTATTATATAATCCATTCTCTATGAATGTATGGCAATTAGATGACACAGACACTTTGGGGATGAGATATTTTTGTGGCCAGTGCTGCCAGCTTGGAGTTTCTTCTCCTTTCTTTCTTTTTTCTTTTTTAATTATTACAGCTTTGTGGTCGATGTTTGCAGGATAAGTTGACCATTTGATAAGAAGAATAAATAGCATTAACTTTAAAGGTCATCCCAAGTGAAAAACCCTCATTGACTGAGTTGTTGCTGTTGAAAAAAAATGCATGAAAGTCACAGGAAATATTTACTCATGTTTAGTCCACTTTGGCTATCAAAGAATGGGTTAAGATCTCAATTTCTTTCTGGATTCTGATTTTAGTACTTATTTTTTTCTTCATCAGTAAACTTTCAAGCTGAATCGGGACTTTAAAGAATGTAACATTTTATTAATATTTTAATTATACAAGCAACTAAAACACAGATTTAAAAAGTAGTTTGTACCTACATTGTTAACCCTTGTAAAAATACTTCACATATGACAAATTTCCTCTGAACGTTCTTGAATATTAGTCATTTAATGGTTATAGTTGTAACTTAAAACCCCACAATATTTATGGTATATGTTTCTTCCGTGACATTTTTTATGCCGTATCTTTGTCCAAGGAGGGTTTTAACACTTTTTAATTAGGGGGTTCCCAGCTTTATTCTGAATCTGACTAAGCATGATTCAGAGATTTTTCTCATAAGATAGGCTTGATGATATCATTTCCTTGCTTCCATGCCTCTGAAAGCTCCCCTCGTTCGCCAGGCTGTGGCTTTCTAACTACAGTCGGTGGACAACAGTTCTTCCTCCAGCTCCCCCTCACCCACCAGAGTACATGAAATCACAGGATATGCCTGGCTTCTCTCCCTCAAGTTATCATTATTACTTGGAAGTCTGTGGTCAGAAACAGCGCTTCCATATTAAAACAAACCTAAATAGCAAGTACATTGCAAAATTTACATGATTTTTTTTTCTTTTTCTTTTTTTCTTTTTTTTAAGATAAAGCACAAGACTTCCCAAAAAAACTGCACTCTGTAAAGCTACTTTGGCCTTTGCCTGCCAACTCCTCAGTATTCATGGTCCTACTTGCTGTTAGCAAGGCTTCAGTGGAAAAGTTTAGCAGCAGGGACTGACAAAATAGAATCCAACTCCTGAGAGATACCCTTTCACAATCTGGTTTCAGCCTCATGACTTCTGTTTGTTTCTAAAGTCTGAACTCCATGCCATGCCCTCTGAAAACTCTTCCCTGCCCTTCTCAAGACAAGCTCCCCCATCTCTCCTCCCATTGTGACTTGTACCCTCCTCTGTCCTAAGCACTTACTGCATGTGTTTCTATCTCCCCTATTTAACTAAGCCGCTGCAGGACGTACTGGAGTCCAGGGGATTTTATGCGAGTCTGGGATGTGTGAGATGCCCTGTAAATCTCATTTGACCTTATGAGGCTACAGGGCTCCTCCACGCCTACTCTCAGAGGGAAAGGACTCCGTGTGTACTGGCCAGTCAAGGACCAGACTTCCACAGGAACAAATAGAGTCTTCCGTACTGTAGGAAATCGTTGGGGACTTGGGAGGGTAGAGCTGACATGAGATGACTAATCAAGGAGCTGTGCCATTAATCAGGCTAATTTGGTAGAGGTAGTGAGTGAAATGGAGATAAGGAGAGATTTTATCTCTCACCCTACATCAGGAGCACTTGAAAACTTTAATACCTCAGACCATTTTGCTTTTCTTTATATTTTCAAACACGTTATCTGTTACTGTTTTGATTTATTAAATCAGTTTCCAATTTTTATACATTAAAGGTATAAAGATGGGTTTTGTTCAGCATAAGGTAATCAGCTGTTCCACATTGAACAGATCTCATTTCAGCTAAAAGCAAAGATGGTTACCATTTTGTTTAGTCTGTGAAGGGTTAATGAGGTTAAGTATCTGGCTTACTATTGAACATTTGAAAAATTATTTTCTTGGGTATCCCCCTCCCCTGCCACACCCAGGACACCTGGGCCTGGAGCCTCTGCTGTACCCCTTTGGTATTGGCCTGGTGATGTGCTGCTGCCCTCTGTCAGAAGTCAGAAGCAGGAGGTCAGAGGGACAGTACTTTTTGCCCATAGTTTCTCTGGGTTTGATATCTCGAATGCTTGGAAATACCAAGGCATTTGTCATTTCCTAGGATACCAGGCTGTTATTTTAAATCTTACCAGGTAAGTATAGTATGAAAGGTCAATATGCACTTTTACTTGCAGATTATATAAAAGGACAGATTTCATCTCAGGTTTAATTAACAACAGGATAAATTTGAAAGTAGAGACTTTGTACAATTCAAATACGCATATGCCTCTCATATATTTTTAAAGTACTGTGCATTTTGAAAATCTAAAATATAATGAGTGTGCTGTTCTGTTGCCTAATGCTGAAACCTCAGTTAATGACTTTACTAATAGTGCTTATTAAAAATCATAAGCCTGCGTAGCTCAATATGTAAAGGTATAGATGGTTAATAAGATGAAAAGAAAGCCTGATTTAAGACTATTCTAATCTTCACAATTGCAGAAGTGAATTTTGACTTGGTCAGAAAATATTCCACTTGTCATATATGTTTTTTCTCTGATGCTTTAACACTGTACTCTCAGTAAATGTGCATAGCAGTTACTGGTTCTCAGAGAATTCAGTTGCATATCTTTGGTTTCAGCTGATTCTGTCTCCCCAAAGGAAAGGTGACTGGGAGTGATCTAATTAATTATTGCTTCTGGAACTTTTATATGCGTATGACTTACCTGGAAATCTGATTAAAATGCAGCTTCTGACTGGGTCGGTTGGTCTGGCACTGCTGGCCCTGGATCATTCTTTGAGTAGCAAGGATTTACTACCCTCCCCCACCTACTCCTGAGTTCACCCTTCTGCTGATTCTAAAGTTTGCTCTGCCTAGAGTTTATCATTTTATATGGCTTTGAGTTCACTTGTTTTTGTTCATTTCGGGGTTCTCCTCTCCGCATGGGTGATCAGAGCTCTGAAGTGAGTAGTAAGGACCTGCCATGGAGCAGAGGGGAACTGGGACAGAGCCCCGCTGGACTTGAGATGACTTGGTCCAGAATCCGTTGTGTGTCTCTGGATTGAACTATTGACAGTAATAGCCTTCTGTGTAATCGTGTGCCTGAAATGGACTCCTAAAAATAGTCGCAGAGGAGAGATTGGTTATTTTGGGAGTGCTGCAAACAGCTGAGAGTGTGGCTTCATGAGGGCACTCTCTCCAGCTCCCCGGCACGGGCCAGCAGTGGCACCTCCAAATCGGCTGAGAAGGGCTTGGCAGAATCATGCCCGACCTGCACAGATTGCCCAAGCTTCGGACGCTGTTTTCAAGTGTGCAAGGTGACTTGGGTGTTCTGTAGCTGCCACGCTTGCTCTGGTAGCACTCTGAAGGGACCTGAGCCAAGAGAGTGGCTCAAAGTAGGTGTGTTAACATCCGTATTTCAACTTAGTTGGAAATTAATGGCTAATTCTCTGTTCTGTTTTAGCAACAGGAACAAGATCCTACTAACCTATATATTTCTAATCTGCCACTGTCCATGGATGAGCAAGAACTTGAAAATATGCTCAAACCATTTGGACAAGTTATTTCTACAAGGATACTACGGGATTCCAGTGGCACAAGTCGAGGTGTTGGCTTTGCTAGGTAAGCATGCTGCTTTAGCTTTACTATGGCAATGATGAGAGCTTGGCCAAGTTTCCTGTAAAACTAAAGTTGAGCAAGAAGAGAGAATTTAAGCCAGGGTTATGGGAACCAGTTGCACCATGAATTTAAATGTGTAAATATTGGTTTGTATTTTTTTTTTTCCAGATCTTTTGGAAGTTCATTAGGCTTCTTGAACCTGAATACACTAAATATTTGGTGACTCAGGGCAAGAAAATATCATATGAGCAATAGTTTTGAAAATATGTGTCCTTAATGTTTTGATGAATTAAATCAGGATGCCTGTAACTTCCTAAAAATAACCATCACAGGCTCCTGAATTTCATAAATAAATCAGTATGGCTTTTCTCATTTGATGGAAATTTGATTCATCATAAAGTCAATGAGTTAGATTATATCAAACATTCAGAAAGTAAGACAATGATAGGACACCTCTCTAACCACCAATTGCTACACCAGTTGTAACATTTTATAATTTGCTTCAGACTTTTTTTTTCTTTGTTAAGAAGCAGAATGTGACAGATCTATCTAGAGTGTCCTCACTTCTTCCAACTTAATTTTATCCCTTCCTCTCTGGAAAGGATACTTCAATATAATGGTTAATTTTGTTTCTAAAAGAAAAATCTCAAACACCAAGTGCTTTGAGTTTTGACATAGTTCTAATCTATAAGCCCATATATAAAAACTGACTTACCATTATTCAGGGACCTGTTTGGACTGTGCAGGAACAGATAATGTCTATATGTTGACTTTGATTTTGGAAGAAAAATTGCTGGTATTTTACTTTCATATACAACATCTGATATGATGACAAGCACATCTCCCAGAGACCTGGGAGATCAACAAAGGCAGCTTTGTTCACTATTTTATGCATAAGAAAGTCAAGTCAAAGAAGAGATGTTTCCGTTGTCACCAGACTGCCAAGTAATGAAGCAAGGTCTAGTACTTGGGTTCTTCTGGCTTTTAGTTGATCGCTCTTTCTTGTTAGCCCAGATAATTTTAAGACAAAACTAAAATTTCTACAAGTGGAAAGTCCCCCACAACTTGCATTTCCAGTGTACACTTAATTGTTTAAAAGGATCCAGGGAAACAATGAAAGCTCAGCACCCACTAAAAGTCATCGCCTCTGTGGGTGTTCTGAAGCAGATCAAGTAGTTTCAGTTTTGTATCCAAAGATGGAACCCAATTATATTCTGTTGCTTTTTAAAACTATTACTACCCATTAAAACCAAGATGTAACTCTCCAGGTTGTCCAGGAGTGAGGTGCATTTTGAAAAGATTATTCAGTGTTTCTTCCATTAAAAAAAATAATAATAACAAGTCAAAATAATGTAATTCCCTTGAAATGATTCTCAAGGGTTTTTAGCCACCTGCAGGTGTAGAATAAATTGTAAAGTTAGGCTCAATCCTTTAAGTACTCCTCTGAAGCCAAGAAGACAAAGAGAGTAGTACATAGCCAACTTCCCTAATTCAATTTTATACCTAGAGCTAATGTAAAAACCATATAAGGAGTATCCTGAGATTCTCATTCCTTCTTACCATGACTTCTGAGTCTCTCCTTTTGTGAATGTGTGAAAGGAAAGGCCATCTTTAAAATATTCTGGCAACGGTAAATCCACTTGTATTTTGAACTGGCATTTCTGTTTCAATTCCGTATCACGACCAGCAGAGCTATTGTGTATGGATCGCCAGTTCTCCAACAAGGAGAAAAAAGTTACACATTTGATATGCTTGATATTAAACACTCTGGATATGATTTATTTCTTGTATGATTCAGAATATCAGTTTTCATTTCATTATAGAAGTACACATAAAACAGAGAAAAGATAGGATAAGCCCACTTTTTCTGATTCACGTTTTTGCTAGGTTTCATTTGTCTCCCGTAGCCTATAAGAATGTATTCACATGCACAAAACAAAATCTGAAATTAAGAGATCTCTAAATATGTGTTTTATTTTGATGGATGAATAGGATGGAATCAACAGAGAAGTGTGAAGCCGTTATTGGTCATTTTAATGGAAAATTCATTAAGACACCACCTGGAGTTTCTGGTATGTTGTTTAAAATTTTATCAGTAATCTTTTATGTAATATATTTTAGCCCTTGTGATGTATCAAGAGCCAAAAACCCTTCATCTAGCTCTTAAAATTTATTTCCTTGGTTCTACAAATAAGACTTCAAGATGCACTTCTCCCAGACATCGAGTGTTTAAATATGAATGGGAGCCATGCCAGTGGGAGGGAGGGTGTGTCCTCTCAGGCACTTGGAAGCCCTTCCTTCTCTGATGCAGGGGCCCATCCCCAGACCTGCTTCTCCCACCACCCACCAGCCTCAATGAATCTGGCCTGCAGTCTTGTCCCTTGAGGGCCATGCTCCTCTCCACCCCAGCTCCTGCCTTTCTTTTTTTTCTTTTTTTTTTTTTTAAGATTTTATTTATTTATTTGTTAGACAGAGATCAGAAGTAGGCAGAGAGGCAGGCAGAGAGAGAGGAGGAAGCAGGCTCCCTGCTGCGCAGAGCGCTGGATGCGGGCCGGATCCCAGGACCCTGAGACCATGTCCCAAGCCTAAAGCAGAGGCCCTAACCCACTGAGCCACCCAGGCGCCCCCTGGCTCCTGCCTTTCTTGTGGAAGAGTTCAGCATGTGTTACCCTGCACCCCTTACAGAACCTGAACCTCAGTCCCTACGGCCCTTCTCTCCCCCGCCATGGTAACCACTTCCTGCCATGGCCCTGCCTGTGTTCTCATGCCCAAGAATACCACACCTCAGGAGCTTTTCATTCCCAGATCACACTGGCTCCTACTAAACCTGATCCGAAATTCAAAGGGGGTACTTCTTTACTTTCTATCCCCACCAAATCTGGTCTCCATTTTAGCAGTATCCTCACTTGTCTTATACCCCAACCCTTGGTCACACCTGCCTCACAGAATGCTAAGCCTGGATTAATTCTGCAGCAGGCCACCTTCTCAGCTCCTGTTACATCCAGGCTGTAAATGTTTCCAGCTTGACCAGACCCAACATCACTGGTCCTCACTCAGCTTTCTCATCCTTCCCCAGCTGCAGTCTCCCCTCTCAGCCTGCTCAGTTTACCCTTAACCCCCTCTCAACTCTAAGCAAATGACTTCACTTCTCACTTGATGAATAAAATTGAGATCACCAGGTGGAAACACCATCAATTTCCTGTTTCCTTCCAACAAGGAGAGAGATCAACCCAACCCCATTCTTGCCGTCCTCCTTCCCTAAAGTCTCAAGGTCAAGGGGTCCCAAGCTGTGGTCTTGATCACATACCCTCAGGACCTTGCTCTGCCAGGTATCCCCTCCCTCTCCTACAATTTCAGATGTCTTTTGCTTTTATTATTTTTTTCCCCCAACAAAGCTGAAAACCTTTATTTTCAGCAATAACAGATCTCTGGCATTACTAATTGGTAGACAAATGCAAGAAAATGCACAAATAAACAATACTAGGAACAAAAATTGTGACTGTGACTATAATAGACTTTTTTTTTTAAGTCACAGAACACAGTGAACAAAACTATGAACTACTTTATGCCAGTACATTTTAAATTTCAATAATTTACTAGAAAAATCTATCCATTTGTGTTTGAGACCATTCAGGTCTCTTTGATCTTGAAACTAAAACTAAAACCCTGTGTTCCTCTCTAGCCCCTTCTCATGTAACCCTTTTAAAAGCGTTATCCCCATTTCTGTTTTCCGTTCACACCTCACCCTCCCCTGCATGACTTCTCCTCGTTGTGTCTCACGTGGTAAACCGTATTAGTCTGCTGAGCTGTTGTGACAAAGTATCAAACTGGGGGGCTTAGACCATGGAAATACCGTTGTCTCAGTTCTGGACACTCGAAGTCTAAGATTATGGTGTTGGCAGGATGGAGAGAGACTGTTCCAGGCCTCCCTCCGTCCTTGGCTTGTAGATGAGCATCATCTCCCTGTGTTTCTTCACGCCATCTTCCGTCTGCACATGTCTGTCTCCATATCCATCTTTCCCTTTTTTTACAAGGACACCCATTGTTTGATTGGGGCCCACACTAATGACCTCTTTTTAACTTTAAAGACCCTATTTGTAAATAAGGTCCTCTTCTGTCATTATGAGTTACTGAGAGTTAGGATCTCAGCTGTTTTGGGGAGGTGTGGGGATAGTGGGGACACAATTCAACTAACACTTACCTCCTGGTTATCCCAATTTGGAGGCTTCCCTTTCTTTCGGATACTGTCTGGTGTACTAGATACTGCCGGCCCCTTACCCATCTCTGAAACATGTCCTCCTTTGACCTCTGCGTCACCTGTTTTCTTCCCGTCCTGCGTTAATTTCTTCTCCTCTATTGGCTTGTTTCTTCTATCTACTCCTTAACTGTTGCTATTTCCCTGAATCCCACTTCTGGCTCACAGTTCTAGTATAGATGTATATTCTAAGGTTTCCAGTAGTATGTACAACTCAGAGATACCGTCTCCCAACCTGGTTTTGCCCTGAGCATCAGGCTGCCTGGTCTCAGTCACCATACGTCCATCGTCTCCAAAGCAAAACTAGCGCCCCCCCGCTCCACCGCATCTAATCCTGCTCCTCTTCCAGTTGTCCTTTTCTTAGTTAGTGGGACCAGTACCCAACCAAGCACTCAAACTGGAAGTGCAGGCCAGATCACCCTGGGCTCCCTCTTCCCCTCCCTCCCTCCATCATGCAAGTCCTTACATTTTTTCCTCTTGATAATTTGTAGACCAACCCGTCTCCCCACCATTCCTCCTACCACAGCCTAGCTTAGCCCCAGATCTCTCACTGAGGCCATTACGGCCGGCTCATAATTGCCTGCCTGATCACTAGCCTTTCCTCTCCAGATACTTGCCCTGACTGTGGCCAGAGAGTTTGATGAAATGTAGACGTCTGTGTCACTTTCCTGCTCCAAGTCCCCTCCTCCCATAAAGGAAAAAGCCCAGGCTCCTGGAAATGATATTGAAGGCCAGAAGCGAAAGGCCTCTTGCCTCCTTCTTCAGTCCTGTTTCCTTCTGTTCTCTGCCTCATGGTGTGTCCTCCTCCAGGATCAAACTACAAATATATTCCAAGCACACCGTGCTCTCCATTCCTCCCTGATTTCTCTCCTTTGGTTTCCAGCTTAGTGCCCTTCAGTTCCCTTTAACCCAGCTCTCCAGTCCTCGACCTCCAAGACTGGGTTCCAGGCTTGCTCCCCTGCCAGAGCCTCCCCTGGCCCAGTCGGTCTGTGCGCACAGCACCCTGAGGACTCTAGCCTGTGTCCCAGCACCTATGGCCACGTGGGTCACTTAACTCAACCGGGGGCTCCTTAAAGGCAGAAATTGTTTCCCATCTTGCTGTTTTCATCCTAGTGCAATACGTCAGCCGTACTAAGCAATGATAAACGTTTTTGGGTTTTGTATAAACTTTACTCCACTATTCCCCCAGACAGTACTACATGTTCACACGCTAGCAGGCTAGCGGCTGACCACAGACCAGAAGACATTTCCGTTTTCCCCCATGCGCCAGGCTGCGCGTGGGTGACTGGTGTTCGGTATTTGTTCTACTGTAGTTCCAGGGTTTCATCCTTCACTGGATGGCTGGGGGTTATGATCGGAGACTTACTGTAATTCTCTGTACCCAGCTGAGACTCATGGCATAGAGGAACCCGTTTGTAAGTATATCCAACTCCACAGCCCACGCTTCATCTCGGACTGCTAAGCCCACGCAGGATTTGCCAGGCTGCATGTGACCATGAACTGCCTGCAGGCGTGAGTCTGGATCATCCCATCCAAGACCGGGAAGTGCACTGTTCCATGGAAGCCAACCTTGTGCGAGAGCTTTCTTTTTGTTTCTTAAGTTGGTTTTGTTTTCCTGTCAACAGCACTTGAGTTGAAGGAAAATAGCGATGTCTTTACTCTCCAACCAAGTAAAGACAAGAGAGAAATTTACTACGTGGGAGCTTTCTGTCAGACCGACACTGTGGGGCCTTCTGCAGTTAACACATGTGCACACCTGACTCCTGGTGTCCTCCTCACTTCCCCGTGTCATCCGTGTCGGGACCCCGTGGTGTTAGTCCCTCAGAAGGGCTGCTCGGCCACCGCAGCCCAAGTGAAAAACTGTCACCTGAAAGGAAATATTTATGTGTTTAGAGAACTTTTGTCCCTTGGCTTTCTCAGCTCATTTTTGTGGACAGCGGGGAAAGTTCAAGGAGGAGAAACATCCCCACACACAGTCGTTTTGATTGTGTCAGTCTGAGATGCAATAAGATCTGCCCGTTTCCTGAATGAAGTAGATCTCAGGGTGTCACAGATCGAGTCGAACAGTTTCCTTTTTTCTCCAAAGGCTTTCATGGTTGATTCATGTAACTGTTTGCTTTGAAGTAGGTGGAAAGACTGTTGGTCATACCTATTCAAGGGAAAGAAGACGTTGGTTTCCAAACCCCACGTAAAGGACTGTAGGATTCTCTGTACCTTTGCAACTAGTAGAGAACAGTTTCTTCCAAGTTGTGCCAAGTGACGGCTATAAGAAAGAGTCCTTCTGCCTCGAGAATCTCTGCTTGGGGCCGTGCAGTCGGGCCGTTCTCTTTGTTCTGAACCAGAACTTAATTTTGTGCCGTTTTCTAATGTTTCATGATTTCGTCTGTGTATTAGTCTTGTTCCCAGCTAGACTGCAAGTTCTTTGGCAGTGCAGACTGTTTGATTTTTCATTTTGTGCTAGGCACAGAAAGCTCGTGCTTCACCCCAGAACAACAGAGGTTACCAAAGAGCATTTTTCATGGAGGCTCGTCACAATAATCATGGCTATTTTGAGAGTTTTTCTGGATACTTCCTTGCATATAAGCAAGTTTGGACCACCTTTCGGCCGGGGTTTGAAATGTATAATGCAGGCCTTGGAAGCACGCTGTTGCAGAGAACTCCACTTTTCCCCAGGATAAGTCCCAAGCGGATTTGGGAACCAAAACAGAATTTGAAATGGTCTTCAGCTTCTCTGGATGTCCCCCTCCCCTTTTTGTGTACACCTAATAGGATAATTTTCTTTAACCAGCCTGCTGATGAGATGCCGCGCTCTCCAAT